GGGGGAGTCCCCATCCCTGGAGGGGTTCAAAAAACGTTTAGATGTGGCACTTGGGGACATAGTTTAGTAGGCATGGTGGGGTTGTGGTGACGGTTGGACTTGATGATCTCAGAGGTCTTTTCCAACCTATGATTCTATGAATTTAGATTCCTGCTAGCTGCACCAGATCTGACTGGGTGTGATCAGTGCGGACCAGAAAGGCTAATTTTCTCCACAACTTCAGCCTACGTTTTTTGCAATGTCAGTGCTACCCTTTAAGCGTTGTTAAGATGTCTGTAGTCTAAATGAGAATTTTCGTGTTCAGCTCTGCATATCAAAATGACTACAAAAATTTTTATTATCTTTATGTGTAATATCACAACGCCGTTCGGGCGCTGATATAAATACACGCAGTCTCTTCTCGCTTTTCCTTGCAGGGAAGAAACATCTGCCCTGAGCAGAGACAGTGATAATCTCTTCTCTAGAAACCAGCTGTGTGAACAGGGACAACAAATAAGCCCCATTTCCTTTGGATTTGTCACCACAGGGGAAAAAATATTTTGACAGCCAGTTGCTACAGCTGAAGCACAAATATCTGTCAACTATGAGAGATGTGGAATAGCTACAGCCCCTTCTAAACCTTGGGCTCTAAGCCCAAGGCTTGCTTCATCTCAGATACTCACTTCCTTTTCTGCTTGACTGACGAGTTTTCTCTGGCCGTGAGTATCTTTGAACCAAATAGGAGTATGCTCTTCACAGATCTCTTCATCTGAAGAAGCAAAGAAGTTTTCAAGGGTCTGCGAGACCGTTTTCCCTCTTATGAACAGCGATTGCCCCTTGCGGTTCCGGATAAGGGAACTCACGGAGTAAACCGACAGTTTGGAGAAGTTCAGCTTGCCTTTTTCTTTATAGCTGTGCCACAGATGACAAAAAAAAAATGAGAGAGACACGTTGAAACGCACGTGAAAAGCCTACTGGAAAAGCAAGCTCACTTTTGCTGCTGTTGCACACTAACGCTTGCAGAAGCTCTGTTTTCTACACCCACTTTGTCCTAGTAATGGAGTATCTTTAAAATCTGCACATATTTATCCTCACTATATTCCTGGTGGAAGCACAAACTTGTTCGTTTTACAGATTGCTCATGGCAGGGGGTTGTAACCAGATGATCTTTAAGGTCCCTTCCAACCCAAACCATTCTATGATTCTGTGATTTTATGGTCGAAAAGTCGAGCCAGAGGGATATTCCCATCATTCACCCCTGCAATCAGAGATTGTTTTCGGAGCCAGGTAAGAGGATTCCCCTCTCCTTCCATGTTGTGGCTAATTTTTCCGTCTGCCTGCAGTTCAGATGTGCCAATTTAATTGGCGATGGTGCCAGAAACTGCATAATCAGAACAACTCAGACTAAGAAAACCCCTCCTCTGCTAAAGAAAAGCATTTACAGTGGTTGCACCACTGAAGTGGAAATGGGAAAGGGGAAAAAGCCATCCTCTGTGGCTTTCTCTCTCCCTGTGAAGTGCTCCTTGGCTACAAGCACAGGCAGGATGAGCAGCCCCCAAAACAGCGATGGGGCTTATGTCAGCACAGTCCATGCCAGAGCAGGGCAGCGAGTCTGCTTCCCCGGGCTCACACGGATGCTAACATCAATGGCCCATCTAATCTGAAAGAATTTGGAAACCCTAAATCCCAGTCTGGCTTGAAGCAGGTGAAAGAAATAATTTCCCCCATTATTTTTGCTTCCTCAGATCCTGGAGGCTCACTTCAAAACCAGACTTTCCTTTCCTGACATGCCTTCCTCCCTGCTCCACTGGCCTTCAATGAAGGAATCTAAAATCCCCACTCACTGTTTGCCGACACTTCCAAAAGCTAACGAATGGAAAGTCTTGCACGTCACGTTTCTGGGGAAGACGCTTTTCCCCCTCTCTGCGACAGCTTTGTTAAACGTCACATAAAGGAAATTCAGATCGGCAAACTTCTCCGCATACTTGACCAAGGTGGAGGTCTTTCCTGTACCTGAAGAACAGAAAAAAGGAAACAGAAAAAAATCCAGAGTCAGGAACGAATGAATCTGCACACCCCTCATCAGCTTCACCTTCCCCCTCCTGCTGTCCTCACTGCACAGCAGGATTATAGAATCATAGAATGGTTTGGGTTGAAAGGGACCTTAAAGATCATCTGGTTCCAAGCCCCCTGCCATCAGCAGGGACATCTTCCACCAGACCAGGCTGCTCAGAGCTCCATCCAACCTGGCCTTGAACACTGCCAGGGAGGGGGCAGCCACAGCTTCTCTGGGCATCCTGGGCCAGTGTTTCACCACCCTCATGGGGAAGAATTTCTTCCTAATATCTAATCTAAATCTGCCCTCTTTTAGTTTAGAGACGTTCCCCCTTGTCCTATCACTACACCCCCTTGTGAAAAGTCCCTCTCCATCCTTCCTGGATGCCCCTTCAGGTACTGGCAGCTGCTCTAAGGTCACCCCGGAGCCTTCTCTTCTCCAGGCTGAACAGCCCCAACTCCTTCAGCCTGTGTTTCGTGGGAGAGGTGTTCCAGCCCTCGGATCATCTTCGTGGCCTCCTCTGGACCCGCTCCAACACATCCATGTCGGATTATTTGCAGCTAAGGAGAATTTATTCATTGACACAGCTGAAATCAGCAGAAGCTGTGGAGCAAAGTAGCTTTGAAAGATTACAGTCTGCAGCCTGAAAGTTTTTTTTTTTTAAATAACATTTTATCACCAAATATTCTAGAAGTCTGAGCATACATGAAGGTACTGGTTCTCTTGAAAGACAGCTTGGTAAATGAAATGTTAAAATTGCTCTTTTGAATGATTTATGAAATCATTTCTTGTAAGATCTCCCACTAATGCCACTCTCCTTTACTCTCATTTGTTGAACCCCAAGCAGTTACCACTCTCCATGTGGAAAACTGACCATCTGATCCTACTTTTGCTTCCTAGCTTGTAACCAGCTATTCACCCATGAGGACCACAAGGATATTCTACCATCATGCCTGGCACAGATACTGGGCTCGCTGGTGGATTGCTCCCACGTCTCCCTGCGCAACTCCACTGCCATGGCAGCTTTCAGCAAGAAGTCACCCCCAGCTACTGGTTCAGCCACTTCACCCTCGAGTTCCTTTACATCTTCTGAGTGATGCAGTCCAGATCATGATAGGAACAGTACCAATGCATATTTCATCCACAACCTTTCCCACATGCACGTGAGACCAACCCTCTGACGGACCCCCTGTAGAGAAAGATCCCGAGGCTGGTCCTTTCCAAGACCTTCTACGAGGAACACAAATGCAGAAACACATTTAGCTTCTGTCCCATCGCATCATTCACTCTAAGGCATCCTTTACACTGCAGTTAGCTAACAGAGGCTTTGGCAAACATCCTCATCCACACGTTTGAAGAAGGATTATGAATCTTTTATACTTTTTGCTAGCAGTTTCCTCAAGGTCTTTATCTGCCCTGCCTTGTTGTGGTTACACGTCACCTGTCAAAGCTCATGAACGTTCATGGTTTTGTCATTTGGACATGGTGACTTTGTACAGACATAAGAAACCACCATCAGTGGCTTCTGTGCCATGCCATACCATACCATAAGGACACCGAGTTGCTGGAGCACGTCCAGAGAAGGGCAATGAGGCTGGGGAAGGGTCTGGAGAACAAGTCCCATGAGGAGCAGCCGAGGGAGCTGGGGCTGTTCAGCCTGGAGAAGAGGAGGCTGAGGGGAGACCTTCTCGCTCTCTGCAGCTCCCTGACAGGAGGG